TACATACACACGTACATATATATATATATATATATGTATGTATGCATGCATGGGTGTATGTATGTATGTGCAGGTGTGGCTGTGACATGTGTATATACAAACATACGAGCGATATCGTTATACTAGAAAATTAGGTCTCATAACCATACTGCCATACATCCTGATTACCATCAGTGTTAGTTCTTATCCTAATATATGTACATATATATTATGTTATAGTTATAGCTTACAATATATGCACCCCTCTATATATATATATACACATACATGTATGCACGCATACACACATGTATACATGTATACATACATACATACATACATACATACATACATACATGCATACATACACACATGCATACATACATACCCACCTACATACATACATACATACATATATACATACATACCTATCACATACGTACATATATATATATATATATACATACATACATGTTTACATACGCATATACATACATACATACATACATACATACATACATACATACATACATACGTACATAGGCACATACATACACCCATTCATACATACATACAACCACGTGTAGATACATACATACACACATGCATACACATACACATATACATACATAAGTACACACATACGTACCTACATGCATGCAAACATACACACATACGTCTTCAAGTTTATAGGTAGATGGTGTGTATATATATATACATATGTATGTATTAAAATACCCTCTAGAGTCCGAGAGTGCCCCACATGTCCGCTTCTATGTGCTAGTTGCACTTCACATGGCAATTCGGTGCTGGCAGATGGACCCATGCTGTTTCACGCAGGCCCTTCCGGACCGGGCCAGCTGCCTAATTAGAATCGGCAAGTGCTGGGAAGTCTGATGTGCTGTCAGAAGTGAGCAGTGTGTGTGTGGCTAAGTTCTCCCTCCCACTCTCTCTCTCTCTCTCTCTCTCTCTCCCTCCAAGGCTACCAATTTTTGTTGCAAAGGCATCTGGTGTTGAGGGGGACAGAGGAGTTGGGGCTCGATGATCGACTTCGAAGCTAGCCTTCATCCAGGAACCGAGGCTCCAGCGTAGAAGAGGCATTGCTCGCGGCGGACCTGATGCCAGCCACACTCGAGACCGGCCGTACTTTCGATAGGGGTGTTCAGCAAGCCATGTTTGGTGGTGCGAACCCGGACCCTCTGGATGAGCAGCTACATGTTCCTAGATTCCGAAATAGATCGACTGGTCATGCAATATTAATTCAATACTCTCCGGCCGGACGCATTCTGAAGGCTGTCGAAGCCCAAGTGCGAGCACTTCAACAAGAGCTTGGGCTGGCCTCCTTCGAGGATTCATCGAAGAGGGAAGCAGGCCTTGGCAGCCGCATCTTCTTGTGTGTGTATAAGGAGGCCCAGTATAAAGAACTGTCTTAGATCACTGTAAAGCCCTTGTAAGTTTAGCTTGTTTGCTAGCAGTATACAATGCCATGTCGGCTTCGCAATTCATCACACATTCCCCACTAGAGGACATCCCCATAACTGGTTGAAACCAGGCAATGTTTATGTCGAAGAACGTGGCGATGGCCGAGCTTTCATGGCTGGGTTTCCCGAGGAGACTGCCTTGAGAGGGCTTTCTCGTGAGGACACCTTTCTGAGCAAGGGTAGCTCGGAGCAGCTGGGTGTAAGCACCCCGTGCAGCGAGCAGACGAGGCAAGACAGCTTTCACAAGTTGGCTGTGGGTCTCAGCCAGGACAGCAACCCGAAGACATCGGCATCCCCCGAGTCGAAAACTCCTGAACCCCTGCATGCCACCGCGACTCCTCAGAAGCCCGCCCCAGCCAAGGTTCAGGAAAGCTTGACCCCGACCCAGCGCGAACTCGAAACCCAGGTGTCGCCGGACAAGGGTGGTGGTGTTGGCCCCATGCCGGGGTCAAGGGGAAGTGGCAGCAAGTCTCCCAAGAGCAAGCACGGGACACCCAGTAAAGGAAGCCCCAGGCAGTCTTCGGGTAGAGGTCTTCCAATGCGTGTTCTGCAACGAAAGCCCAAAGCCAAGCCGCAGCCAAAGCACCCGATGTACAGTGATGGAAGCTACTGGAAGAATCTGGGCCTAAACTGATTGTGATAAATATGGTAAAGTTAGCTTGTGCTGTTGTGTGTCTATTCCCAAACTGTCCTACCACAAACAATCAGCCACAAGCAAGACTTCCAGTGTGTTAAATACTTTGACTTCAAGTACTCCTAAAGGAGACGTGTAGGCCTACTGCTGCTGCTGCTGCGATGGCTCCTGCTTCTACTGATACTGATCCACGCTATTCCGGTAGAGTTTGCACTCTTCGACAAGAACGATGCCGAGGACATATATGCCATGCATTCGCACACTGCTGCTGCTACATGCTTAGCCATAACACCCTATACTTCGTACACCCCGCAAACATCCCGAAACGACCGACAACAACCGACCCGAGCACAACCAACAAAACACCCAGCACCAGGACCAGCACCACCGCCACCGCCACCGCCACCACCAACAAGACTGCAAGGACTACTAGATGCTACTACTACTACTACTACTACTACTGCTGCTACTACTACTACTAAACTACTACTACTACTACTACTCCTACTACTACTACTACTACTACTACCACTACTACTGAAGACGACCGCCAGCACTACTGCTGCTGCCTCTGCCTCTGAGGATGCAGGGCTGAGAATTCTGGGTTTGGGGCCCGGGTTTTGTATGGATTTAGGGTCTTAGAGTGTGTGGTGTTGTTAAGTGTTGGCTTAACCCTTTCGAAGTCTTGGATATCACAAAGCCCAGCTGTCTTCAGTCTGGCTTAAGCAGCCTACTGCTGGCATATATTTATATAGGGGACTTTGAGTTTATATGGGTGCATATGTCTTCCGAGCTTGGAAATCAGGATGCAAACAACCTTTCAGCTTGTTGTAGATCTCGAAGTCCTCAACATGACCCCGAAGTGTCAGTACTCCCATGTCCAAACGGTTCCTAGACCCGACCTTACGTCGCAACCCGGAAACATCAAACCTTCGAAGCTGCAAGCCCTAACAGCTCCCGTGACTTTCGACCCCGAACCCCAATAAGAACACAAAGCCCTGAACAAAGTAAATTCCAAGACTCCACACCTGAAGCCCGAATCGATAAGACCCCAAACCTTTTTCGAACCCCAAGGAACCCAAAAGGATAGTGCAGAACCCGAAAATCACCCTTTCCTGGGTTTTGATCTGAATCCGAAACCGAAGCCCAAAGCTCCGAGGACACAGCAGGCCAGGTCTCGCTTTCAAAGCCTCGATGCCCACAGAACATTGGGATTATAACTTAAATTCTGCTATAAACCCTAAGTCCATATTCTTCCGGAAACATAGTGCGTCTCAGGATGAAGCGCTACGTGGACATCAGCAAGCAGAACTGCCAGGCCAGTGCCAAAGCGATCGAGATGATGAAAACCGAAGACGGCAGCAGCATGCTTACACTAGAGGCTGTAGGGTTCAACAAACATGTCGATTGCCAGTCAAGTGGCTGCTCTCAGGAAAGCAGCTGCACAAGATGTATGTGGATGCTGGTGGTAATTTCGGTACAGTGGAAGCCGAGATTGTCAAGTTCCAGAAGAAGCAGAAGGAGGAGTGGATCCGAGGTGGGTGGCACACCAATGTGTCACTCACCCAGAAGGGGTGGACAGAGAACCTAGATCGAATTCATACGGTTGAACTCCTTGCCAACATGGCGAACCTGTATAGCACCCAAGTTTACTGATCTGAGGAGGATGATAGCGAACAGCTATGCCTGGGCTTCCGCCCGGGGGCTGGTTCAAACCAACCCCGTTCACCAAGAGGAGGAATGGCGGATCCCTACCGATCACGACTTTGCCCTCGGCAGCATTGAAGGAACGGCAACTCAGACAAAGGCCACCGCTGAGCTGGAAGTGCCCTCACTGCATGCATATATGTCGTAGCAAGGCCTTGTTGTTAGGAACCAAGCGATGCTAGCCATGTTACATAAGGACCCGGACGGCGCAATGCTGATGGACGACCCCGAGTTGACAGAGGTTGCCGTGACAAGGCCTTGCAGTATGTATACTGGTGCACGCTAATGCATCCGGGCATGCTTTGCTAGCTGCTAGTTAGACCAGCATGCACACGCGAACAATCCTGGCTGACATTGTCATTGCCTGTGGCCATATTAGCTTAGGCGGAACGAAGTCTCGACCAATGCCAACCAGCTCCAGACTGTGGCCCCGACATCATCGAAATCCAATGCCACCACCTTGCCGCTTTTGCAAGCGAATCAGAATCCGTTCAGCAGCTGGGATGGAATGTGCTAGTCTGATTAAAATGGCCTTGGCTGTGTAGTCTGAGGTTTGATTGGCACGTATGTGGCTGTGGTGGGACGGAAGCTCGACATGGCAGGGGACTTGGAGGAGCCCACTTATGGTACCAGGGATTGAGCGTCCTAGATCTATATAGATTATGCGCCATGCACGACTCAAATGCTGTCTGCAGAGGACAGGATGGACAGCTACAAGCTTCCTCGGGCTACAAAGCCACCTGCTGCAACAAAAGGTTTTGCTGCACGTCGGCTGGCTGAGTTCATACCACTGAGGATCCGGGAGGACATCGAGAGCAAGCGCAAAGCCTATGAATCGATCTACGAGACCTTGCTTAGCCTGCAAGAGAAAGCTCTTCTCAACGACCCCCCGCCTTTGTGCCTTGTTTGATAGACTTCAGTGGGCCTTTCCGCTCGGATGCATCTCTTAAGATTCATTCTATATGATGCACAACCTAAGGAGTATGAAGAAGGAGCTCATCGACTGCTTTGTGAAGTGCACCAGAGCTGACATGAACCTGAACAACATGATGAACCGTGCCAGGCCACACCGAGGTAACACCAGAATCCATATCAACCAATAACTGATCGGACCCTGGAAAAACCCATATATTGTGAATGACGGTGCAGGTCATTCAAGGCTCCTGCGCAGCCGAAGGTCCGTGCCAAGCCGTCGCCCCCGCCTGCCAAAAAAGGCGGAAAGAGGAAGGGTGTGGAGGAGGAATCCGAGCCCAAGAAAAGGGTCCGGGGGAAGTCACCGGCTGCCCCAAAGGGCCCAAAGTCCAAGCGAGCAAAAAAGTGAGTTTGTGCCAAAAGCACATGCCTGCCCATTGACTTATTCAGCATATGCAAAAGCAGCCTTCCCTAGAGGTTCTTGGGGCATGGTATGTGCTGCTTTTCGAGTTATCATCATTTCAGCAGGATAGCTGCTGGTGAGAAATTGCCCGCTGGGCTTTGTCCGTGTGCCAGAAGTGGCAACTGTCGCGACAATCTGCAATTGGCTGATCTCGAAAGTGCAACAGCCGAACAGAAGTCTGCATGTGGGCAAAAGGGCCAAGTGAATGTTCGTCTGCTGTACGAAGCTGATTAAAGTCTATAGCTGCATGTGCCCAGCTGTCAATAACTATTGCCAGGTGGCCTGGGAGCCCTTTCTCAAACGAGTTTGGCAGGTCGGTGTCTTGGGTGATGATTGTGAGTGGTATCAAACCAAAATTGTTATAGCGTTCAATGACGGTCAGGCCCTATGCGGCTCACGACGAGTGACAGTGAATCCAATGATGATGCTGACTCCGACCTAGCCTGCGAGCTCATGCACGACTACTTGGCTGGTGATCCTTGGTTGTATGCACCCCGTGTTGGCTTAATGTTAATCTGGGACTTCACACGTGTACCTTAGCTAAGGCAGAGTCGGCGAAGCGAACATGCAACATTGCCCGGATGATCTGCAAGGTTCGGCGCAAAAGATCCTTGGCTTCCTAAGAGTTTGGGGTCTATTATAAGGTGCACATGTGGTGTTGTGAATCTAATGGCACCGAGGACATGTCAATGACACAATGTCCAAGCTTGCTCGGGCCGGTGCTTCAAAAACGAACGCGACTCGCAATCTCATGAGACTGCTGAAATCTGCTGGAGTGATGCTCCCTCTCAAACCAGAACTCATCCAGATCACGATCAAAAGGAAAAGAAAGAAAAACCGAATTGAACGAATGTGGTTCCCCGTCGTTCCTATGACGCAGTGGGTCACTTGCCTGCTGCATGAATGCCCGCAACTTCTGCTGGCCGGACATCGGCTTGAAGATCGAACGGCCTGGGAGCACGTCTTCCACAACTTTTGGGCATGTTACCAACAGCTGGATAGCCAGCACCCATTTTTCAGTTCTGGTATCAGTTGGGGACGTGGAATCCCGTACCTTATCCACGGTGACGAGGGACGGGGGCTACGAAAGGTTCCCTGGATGGTGGAAGCCTGGCAATTGCTGATTTCACATGCTGGAATTATGGATACGAACGAATCTTCGAACCTTCCACCTGGAAATGCCTATTTCATCCGTTAAGTTCATAGTACCTCGAGTCCAACCCTTACACTAAAACCCCGCTGTTACCGTCCACAAAGGCATTCCTTCACGACACGGTTTCTCTACAGCAGCCTGTCTGCAGCCCTTTTCGCTGGGGAGAAGACCCTGGATGAGATTCATGAAGTTTGGGCTGAAGAGGCCTGCCAGCTTTTCCATGACGGTGTAGATGCTGCTTGTTCGAAATAATGACATGTAAAAGCTGACGGGGTGACATGTTCAAGCTCCGTGTGTCTTGGCTGGGCTCAGGTTGGAGATGGAACCACAGTGCACCTAGTCTGTTTGGGCGGCAAAGGTGATTGGAAATATGTCCGCAAAGTTGCTCAGATAATATGGAAACCGATCCTAGCTGTGTGTATTCCTGTAAGCTTGTAGCAGCCCAGGCTTTCCATATGCGAGTGGGGTACAACTGCCCGGAGAAATGCCACCTCTGTATGGCTGAGGCCCAACAGTGTTTTCTAGGGCTCAGAAGATGTCCCATCAATATCTCGTATCCCATGACGAACCTGCGACCCTTCGGCTAGGATTGGCATGTCTTCGATTCTACAGCACGGTGGCGGTCTAGTGTCGGCAATCGGTCCACGACTCCCTTCCAGAATGTAAACATACCTTTGATGCGGATCCCTGGCCTACATCGTGCTGAGTATATACATCCGGACAGTTGCCACTGCTTTCACATCGGTTGGGGCAAAGATCTGGCAGCCTCCAGTATTGTCCTGCTCGCCAAGAAGTGTCGATGGCCTGGGCGGTCGCTTGATAAGCGATTGGAAGCTGCATTCGGCGATTTCATCGGCTACTTGAACACCAGAGGGAAAACAACTGGTTGCGATGGGTTCTCATGCAAGCACCACTTCAAGATGAGTTCGATGCTAAGGTGTTAAACTACGCAGAAGTTTCGGCTTGTATATGTTTAGAAACACTATCTGGATAAGCTTTATAAGCTCCATCATCCCTGTACCACCTCAGGAACCAGGATTGGCCAGAAACGCACGGTGGGAAGGGCCAGGACACTGCGCTGATCTTGGCGTGGCTTGAAGAATTTCTGGCTAATTCTGCTGCTAGATCGCACTATGCCAGCACCCGAAGTGTGAAGATTCCAAGATCATTAATGTATATAGGCGCTATTTTGCACTGACAGTGTGCGTCTCGAGGACTGCAGTGGCCGATTGCTTGGAACTCTCCAATACACGATACGCTGCGCGAATCATTTCTTCAGGATTCTCAGGAGCCACGGTGTTTGGATTCCAGACCCTGCTCGTTCTGAAGCCCTAGCTGTCGGACAAGACATGTGCGAACCTACAAGGATCCGATTGGCAGGTTTTCCTGTAGGGCAAATTCGGGCATCGGTTTACTACTACAACGAACCGTTTAAACCGAAGCTAATCCCCCGAGCAAAAAACCCAAGGAAGGTTATGGGGCGATGGCAGCCCTTTGCCAAATGCTCCATGAGAAGCTCTTTTACTTGAGACCGAAAATCCATTTGACACAACACCTTGTGTTGTGCTTTTCCAAAGGGCCCCTGGCTTTGAATCCGCTATGTGCCTAGATTGCAGCTAAGCTTCACCTTGCAATGATGATTTGAAAGCTATGCTGTGCATGTCCCATCTGAGGCTATGCGGTTTGGAGCGACGAAGACTACATAGGTCGAGTGTCGAGGCTCAGTAGGACTTGCCATCCTTTAAATCAGTCCTTAAGGACACTGCAAAAATGCATGGGCCAATACCAGGCACAAATTAATCGAATGAAGCAGCTGCATGGATGGTAAGCTCGGTGCCCGGCGCAAAAGACTGATTCGTGGAGTCGCGGGCGAATCTCATGAGCATCATCGACATATATATGTGTATCTGCACAGTTTTATATGCCAGACAGTATCTACACGGATATGTATGTATATGTGTATATGCACAAGTGTCTTGTCCTTTAGTTTGTTCAAGTCTGTACAAGACACACTCATACCTCGTTTGACTATTCCTAGGAATTAATATACATACCATCTTATATGCAATGCGTATTATACACATGTAGACAATAAACATACATAGAGTGTACATGTATGCTATGTATTCACGGATATATCTGATTACTCTGAAGCAGGTACAGCCTGGTTTATTTGTTCCAAGCTCGCCTACTTTTCTGCTGGTCCGCACTATTCGCACACTTCCTCGCCGACTCGCCCGCAAAACCCCCGGCCGATCAAAACGCCCGGAAATAAATGATAGAAGGAATCTAGAGGTAGGGGTTTAGGGGCTTAGGGCTTAGGGTTACGGTTTAGGGTTTAGGGTAAAAACTTTTGGGGTTTGGAAACCCCTTGAAGCCTCAAGCTAGAAGTTTCTGTTGTTTCGGCCGATGAGCTGGGCCACAAGGTGGATATGCTATTCCCGGACGCTGCCAAGTCTAGTATAGGGGCCTTAATATTTAAAATGGGATTTTGGGGTATATGATACTATACTCATAACAAGGAACCCTAAGGAACAATATCCGTAATTATTGATGCTTCTATATGACCCGCTTTAATTCACATCTCACGCATACAAAACCAGCCTGAAACCTAAGCATCCCTAAACCCTAACCCCGAAGCCCTAAACCCAAAACCCCTAAACCCTAAACCCTAAACCCCTAAACCCTAAACGCCTAAACCTTAAACCCTAAGCCCTAACCCCTAAGCATGAGACCAGCAAGGTGCGCAGCGCTTCCTGGCACCGGACGGGGCCGAGATCTCGACTTCTGCGTGGACGGGTGATACGGTTGGTTTAGGGTTTACGGGGTTTAGGGTTTTTGGGGTTTGGGGTTTAGGGTTTAGGGTTTTTGGGGTTTGGCGTTTAGGGTTTTTTGGGTTTTTTCGGTTTAGGGTTTTCAGGGTTTAGGGTTTAGGGTGTTGATATGAATCCTGCATTACCCAGAACAAGGAACACATTATAATTCCCATGGTTTAGGGTCCTTATAAGGTAATGCAGGTTTTATATCATCAGCAGTAGGGGCTCTGTATCACTGACCCCAATAGCTCAAGGATTCCAAATGGGTAGTTCTCGAAATTGGGGTCCCTTTTAGGGTCCTTTTTGTAAGGGTGCCGTACTATTCTGCGAACCTAAAAGGGGATGCTAAATTCAGAGAACTACGCAAGTACCTAATTCACATATTCCCCCAAATACTGGCCTGTATGATCCTGCATTTGGGCACAAGTCACTGAATACTGAGTCCTTTGGACACTTAGTTTTGACTCAAAGACCGTACTGTTGGTTGGTGTGGGGTCAGAATTTGGGCCTTTGTGACGGGGCTCCAGAGGTTGGAATAAGCAACGGTTTAGGTTTAGGGTGTAGGGTTCGGAAGGTTGAAGGTTTGGTGGCGTTGGGTGCCGGACTTAATCAGACACGAAGCGCGGTACAGCAATCCCAGTTTAGAAAGCGTTATATGCCTGACTACTTCATAAGCGTCCTGATCTTGCAAGCAGGCCTGTATCCCGTCCAAATACACGTCCTTTCTGACGCCTGCCACGCTCTCGGCTTCTGGAAACTCGCGGGGGAAGGAGCACGTGGCTTTCTTGCTGGGCTCTAGGACTCTAGGGCTTGGCCGTTCGTGGCAGGTTAATCGAGATTCCATAAGCGTTTTCGAGATCTTTAGGGTGACGTCAGACGTATATTTGCAGGTAGGGCTTAGAAGTGCGGCCGCTTTTGTTGGGGTTGCTTGTCCCCCATTCCCATAACCCCTAAAGTAGTTCCTTTTTGGGGTTCATACATAGAATCCTATAAGGTAACCCCAAAGAAGGAATTACTATGGGGCCTATGGGTAAGCCCTAAACCCTAAACCCTAAACATGCTAGGAACCATGATCCTTCAAGAAGGTGCGCTTCGGAAAGGTCCTCTTCCCAAGGCCGTAGACCCTGAATCCCATTCCCCACGCCTGATTTTATCTTAGGGATATGCGAAGAGATAGTTCAGTTTGCCAAAGTCTCCGTCTACTAGTGCAATCTTTGACATCTGGCTCGAGATATCCACAATCCGTGAACACCCCTACACCCTACCCATAGGCCCCATAGTAATTGCTTTTTGGGGTTACCTTATAGTAGCCTTATAGGTTTCTATGTATGAACCCCAAAAAGGAACTACTTTAGGGCCTATGGGTAAACCCAGGTAACCACCCACAAGCTGTGGAACGACGTGAAAAATTACAACGACCTTGCGCACTTCGAGACGGCGCTAGGGTCTCAGAAAGACCTGTAGGTCGACTGGGTTTGGGGTTCAGGGTTTAGGGTTTATAGGTTGGTAGGAAGCACCTCCATTCCAAGCGTTTCTACTATGACGATGAGTACTATTATCACCAAATAGTATTGTTATTGCTATGTCTGCTATATAGAAGACTCTCTAGTTTTATCATACTAAAATCCACACCAAAACGCTAGTCCAACTATTATTATTTTTAGTATTATTATGTTTGGTATAAGCATGTACACATACACATTGACTTTGCTTGAAGTCCTTGGTACATTTATCTAATGCACGGAAACTACGTACCATAAGCAGTCAAACTTATATCTGACCCTCCAAGTATTCAAGTGATACCGGTTTAGAATCGGTATCACATCTTGTTAGAAAGGGTACAGGGTTCAGCTAAAGGGAATAAACAGTGCCAATCCGGCCGCATTTGGATCCACCCAAAATGAAAGCAACAGTCACACCGGTGCCGGTAAAAACAAACATCACGAGCAGTTTCTGTTTCTGAGAATCTGGTAACATGGACAAATGAACTCATTCCGAACAGCACTAATTACGAACAGAGGGCGTTCCCAGAAGACAAACCTCAAAGTATCCTGCCTAAATTGCCATGGTGGCCAGGGTGGCGCGTCATGCTATACCATGACATCTCGGGTCGCGATTCAAAAAGTTCGCTGGTGCCCAGGTACGTCGTGAAGTTTCATCAGGCGTTCTACCCGACGACTGACATTCAGTGCATCGGCCAAAGCAGGAATTTCGGATTTCAGGCTTCATGGTGTTGGTATTCGTGTTGTGCTTGTTTTGTAATTCTACCCCGATGATGATGCTTGTTGAGCATGATGGTGATCATGACAACGAGGATGACGCGGATGCAAGTGCCGCGCAGCGTGGTGATGATAACGATCATCTTCATGATGTTCATGATGGTTTTGAGTACCCTAAACCCTAAACCTTAAACCCTATGTGGTAGTCGAAGAAGAAGACTGTGGGTCCTACTACTTATTTGTTGTTTCATCCCAAGTCTGATTCCTTGAGTTTTGTCATTGCACTCACTACGATGGTTGTCGTAGAGGGCTCTGGGGATACTTCTGCAGAGCCAGCCGCAAGATCATAGATTGGGCCCCTAAACCCGAAACTTTGCCTAGTTTGGGGAGCGAAGCGGACCAAACAGTTTGTTCCGGGGAGTTCTTGGGTGGGGGGGGGGAAGTTGGGGGGCGCGTGCGAGCGCCACTTTGCTCCGCATGTTGTCAGCCTTTTCAGTC